CTGTCTGCGGACAAGCTGTCCCCTCGCGCTTCTCCCTGCGTCTTCCTGGGGTTCCCCCCCGACGCCCCTGGGTGGCAGTTCTACCACCCCACCTCTCGACGTGTTCTGTCCTCCCAGGACGTCACGTTCGACAAGTCGGTACCCTACTACCGCCTCTTCCCCTACCGCACTCCTTCCCTCCCCCCGCCCCCGCTCTTCTTGGTACCAGGTCCCCCCCCGGTAGACCCCCTCCCCCCTCAGGGTCCTGCCCCTTCAGGTGTGTCCCAGGTAGACGCGGTCGAGCCTGTCGAGGTCACTGGTGACTCTGGTGCTGCTGCGGGTGCTGGGCCTGGGGGTGCTGAGCCTGGGGGTGCTGAGCCTGGGGGTGCTGGGCCTGGGGGTGCTGAGCCTGGGGGTGCTGAGCCTGGGGGTGCGGAGTCTGGGGGTGCGGAGTCTGGGGGTGGTGAGCCTGGGGGTGCTGAGCCTGGGGGTGCTGAGCCTGGGGGTGCTGAGCTTGGGGGTGCTGTGCCTGGGGGTGCTGTGCCTGGAGGTGCTTCGTCTCGCCGTGAGCCACTCTCCCCACAGGAGCTGCGTGAGTGGTTTGCTAGGCGCTGGAGGCGTGCTACTGGTGCTGGAGTTTCTTCGCCTGCAGAGGGTGCCACTGCCGCGGGTCCCGGAGGTGCTCGTCTTGGGAGTACTGGAGCTGCTGGGTCTGAGGTTTCTCCTGGAGCTGGTGCTGCTGAGGGTGTTGGCACTGGGACTGCCGCTGGCGGTCCGCCTGGCAGTGTTCCTGGTGGTGCTGCTGGAGGTTCTGGAGCTACTGGAGGTGCTGCTGGAGCGGGTACTCCTGCTGGGGGTACTAGTCCTGTCCCTGCTGTTTCTGGCGTCGCCGCGCGGCCCCGACCGTACTTCGTTCCGCTCCTGCAGCAGGTTCTTGGTCTTACACCTTCTCCTGGTCCTCCTCCTCCTCCCTTAGAGGGTCCGCCGCCTGTCCAGTCACAGCCACCGCTACAGCCTGCCTCCCCTTTGCCTGCTCCTTCTCCCTACGCTGGTCCGACTGGAGGTCTTACTGAGCGTCGTGAGCCTGCGTCTCGTCCTGCGTCGCCTGTTCGTACTGCGCGCGCTAGTGGTCGCGGGTCGCGTCAGCGTCCTCCTCCTGTCCCTGGCACGCACCGGATGTCACTGCGTCCGTCCACTGCTCCTCTGCGTGCCCCTTTGCCTTCTCCTCCTGCTTCCTCTCTTCCTGCTCTTGCCGACCCGGAGTCGGACTCTCTTCGTGCTGCCAGTCCTACTGTCACGCGTCTCCTTGCTACTGCTGTCACTGACCCTTCCTTCGAGTCGTCTGCTGCGTCTGCCCTTGTCACTGAGCTTGTCGACTTTGCTGCGCGCTGTCGTCTAGACTACGCTGCCAGTCTTGTCGCTGAGTCTGAGTCTGTCTGTCCTCCGTCCGTCGGGGGTGAGTGTGCCCTTGGCACGGACGTCCTTGAGGACAGGCAGGAGGAGTTCCAGTGTCTGGCCGCCGCTTCACCTCATCTCGCGTCTGTACTGCTAGCCCCTGAGGGAGACCCGGATGCACCAGACATCCCGACTCCGCGCTCTTACGCGGAGGCGATAGAGGGTCCCTACTCCTCTCAGTGGCAGGCAGCTATGGATGCAGAGATGGCTTCCTGGAAGTCCACAGGCACCTACGTTGACGCTGTTCCCCCTCCTGGGGCGAACATAGTCAGTGGCATGTCGATTTTCAGGGTGAAGCGGCCGCCGGGTTCTCCGCCTGTCTTCAAGGCGCGTTACGTGGCTCGTGGCTTCAGTCAGCGGCAGGGAGTTGACTACTTTCAGACCTTCTCCCCCACCCCGAAGATGACCACTCTTCGGGTTCTACTGCACGTTGCTGCTCACCGTGACTACGAGCTCCACTCTCTCGACTTCAGCACCGCTTTCTTGCAGGGCAGCCTGCACGAGGAGATCTGGCTGCGTCGCCCACCTGGCTTCACTGGGTCTTTCCCTCCTGGTACCCAGTGGAGTCTCCGGCGTCCAGTCTACGGTCTCCGCCAGGCGCCACGTGAGTGGCACGACACACTGAGGACTACGCTGGCGGCACTTGGGTTTGCTCCTTCTACTGCCGACCCGTCGCTGTTTCTGCGCACCGACATCTCGCTGCCGCCGTTCTACATCCTCGTGTACGTCGACGACTTGGTCTTTGCCACAGCTTACACTGCTGGACTCGCCCACGTGAAGTCCGAGCTGCAGAAGAGACACACGTGCACTGACCTGGGTGAACTTCGTAGCTACCTTGGCTTGCAGATCACCCGGGACAGAGCACGCCGCACCATTACCCTGACTCAGTCACACATGTTGCAGCAAGTCCTTCAGCGCTTCGGCTTCACGTACTCCTCGCCTCAGGCCACTCCTCTGCCTACTCGCCACTCGCTCTCAGCTCTGCCTTCGGATGAGTCCGTAGAGTCGAGTGGCCCGTTTGCAGAGCTTGTTGGCTGCCTCATGTACCTGATGACCTGCACACGACCTGACCTTGCATACCCTCTTAGCATTCTCGCACGCTATGTTGCTCCTGGGAGACACCGACCAGAGCACATGGCTGCAACGAAGAGGGTGTTGCGCTACTTGTGCAGTACGTCGGGCATGGGGCTAGTGCTTGGAGGGCGCAGTCCAGTGGTCCTCACTGTGCACGCAGACGCTTCTTGGGCTGACGACCAGGCTACGCAGCGGTCGTCACAGGGTTACACCTTCAGCCTTGGTTCCGGCTCTGTTTCGTGGCGGGCTACCCGCTCGTCTTCTGTTCTCGGCTCCAGTTGTGAGGCTGAGATCTACGCTGGGGCTATGGCTGCACAGGAGTTACGCTGGCTCACCTACCTGCTGACCGACCTTGGAGAGCAGCCTCGTTCTCCTCCAGTCCTGTACGTAGACAACAAGGCCATGCTGGCCTTGTGTCGAGAGCAGCGACTGGAGCACAGAACGAAGCACATTGCTCTCCGCTACTTTCTTGCTCGTGAGCTACAGCAGCGTGGACAGTTGCGACTTGCGTACGTGGCCTCTGAGGCCAACACTGCTGATGTCTTCACCAAGGCACTTGCGCCTTGTGATCATCAGCGTTGTTGTACGCAGTTGGGTCTTGTGCCTGTCTTGCCTCACTTGCTCTCCTCTTGACCTTGCTTGTACCTTCGCCTATATATACTCTTGCTCTTGCTTACTTGACTCTTGTATATCTCTATATATGATCTTGCATGTGAACTGGCCTTCTGGCCTTTTAACTTGTGCTCGGAATGCGTGGTGACTTTGTGATCCACCCTGAGCTTTGCTTTGCTTTGCTTGACTGGTCTTGTGACCCCTTGTTCTCCCCCACTTTGCCTATGGGGGTGTGTCAGAACATATAGCTTACTTGTTTCTGTAGGCTATAGTGGGGTATCCCATAGGGGGTACAACCCAAATTAGGGTTTCCTATTTGTACTCACTTCGTTCATAGTCATTCCATTCTCTCGTTCATATCTTCTCAGATAGCAGGGTCGATTGTATAGCATGCAAAATTGACAAATATGAGGCGTCCTAAGGACGCGGTAGTGCGGAAAAAGCTATTCTATGGGAGAGCTGAATTTGTCAGAATGTTATTGTTGTCTAGCCTGCAGTGGGGTACTCTATAGCGAGTACAACCCAATCAGGGTTTCCTGTATGTATGCCAACTGCTGCTGGTGCAACCTCTCCTTTCTTCATTTCTGTTTCTGCCTGCTAGTCTTGACATGCTATCAGAGCAGGTCGACCCTCCTGGGTCGATCCTGTGAGTGGGCCCCACCCGATGCTTCCGCTGCTATACTCCTGTCGCGCGCCCCGGGCGTGTGACCCTTTCTTCCTGCCGCGCACTCCGAGTGCGCGGTATTTTTCATCCCGCCGTGCGCTCGGGGCATGCAGCTGTTTTCTGCCCGCCGTGCGCCCCGAGGCGCGCGGCGGTTTCCCGCTTCACGCGGCGGTTGTCTGCCCGTCGTGGTGCCCCCGGGGATCTGCGCGCTGCCCCCCTCCCGTCGCCCGTCGCGGTGCCCTGGGGGCCTGCGCATCGCCCTCCTCCCGTCGCCTCGTCGCAGTGCCCAAGGGGCCCGCGCGCCGGCCCCTCCCGTCGCCTCGTCGCGGCACCTTGGGGGCCCGCGCGTCGCCCCTGTCAAACATTATATATGTTGTGCTTGTTAAGGCTACAGTGAGTTAGCCTATAGGGGGTACACAATTCTAGGGTTAGGTACTTGTACTGATTTCACTGTTAGTTCAATCATTCCTGTTCGTTCATTTCAACATGGTATAGAGCAGGTCCTTCGCTAGGACCGTTTTTTTAGGGCCCACCACTACCTACCTACCTACCTACCTAACTACGCCCTAGGGCGACTCGTTCTTCACGGCCCACTAAGGCCCCGTGACCCGCGACCCGCCCCTTAGCGACCTGTGCGCCGCCCCTTAAGGCCCCGTCGGCCCACCCGCTCGCCCCTTACGGCCCCGCGCTCGCCCCTTAGCGACCCCGTCGGCCCCGCGATCGCCCCTAACGGCCCCGTCGGCCCCGCGCTCACCTCCCTAGAGGCCCCCGTCGGCCCCGCGCTCGCCCTTAGCGGCCCCTTACGGCCCCGCGCTCGCCCCTACAAGCCCCGAACGGCCCCGCGCTCGCCTTTAGCGGCCCCTTACGGCCCCGCGCTCGCCCCTAGAGGCCTCGAACGGCCCCGCGCTCGCCCCTAGAGGCCCCGAACGGCTCCGCCAGACCGAGCAGCCCGAGCCGAGCCACCCAGCCCGAACCGAGCAGCCCGAACCGAGCCGCCCAGCCCGAACCGAGCCGCCCGAACCGAGCCGCCCAGCCCAAACTGAGCCGCGCCGCCCGAACCTAGCCGCGCCGCCCTTCTCGAGCCGCGCCGCCCTACCTGAACCGAGCCGCGCCTCCCGTACTGGACCGTTCCGCCCTACCTGAGTCGCATTGCCTACTGTTTTTGGAGTGCACCTACTGCTATTACTGCTACTCTACTACTTCTCCTACTACTGCTATGGCTAGCCCTCCTGTACTAGCTTTCGATACTGAGGGCCGCCCAGTGAAGTTCGATACCTGGCTAGATGACCTACACCTCTTCCTACAGCTCACTGCCAAGGAGGACATCTCACTGTACGATCACGCCCTAGGCCATGCTACTGCTCCTGCCGCTACTGCTGACAGCACGACCCCCTCACAGTGGCAGACTCGTGATGCCCACGCTCGCTTTGCTATTCGCAACTCCCTGCCGATAGATGAGCGCGAGCACTTTGGGCAGCACAAGACTGCACAGGCACTGTACACTGCTGTCGTTGCCCACTACTCCTCACCGGCCTCTGCCGCACTAGGCCGTCTCTCTCTTCCCTACCTGTTCCCCGACTTAGCCTCTTTCCACACAGTCGCTGACCTCATTACCCACCTCCGCACTAGTGAGGCTCGCTTCCGTGCCGCCATGCCTGATGATTTCCTTGCCAAGAACCCACCCCCGCTCTGGCTCACTCTCTATTATTTAGTCACCCGCCTCCCTAACACTCTGCGCTCAGTCAGGGACCACTTCCTAGCTCGCTGCCCCACTGAGCTCACCATTGCCCTCCTCGAGAAGGAACTCCTTGCAACTGAGACTAGCATAGTCGCTGTAGGTGCCTCTCGTGGCAACCCCCGTACCCCGTTCTTTGAGGGGTGTTCTCCTTCCCCCCTTCTTCCCTCTGTCGCCTCTTCTGCTGCTGCCGACCTCCTTGGTGCTGAGAAGGCCGGGACTGCGTCTGCTTCGAGCGGGCGCCGCAGCGGCAAGGGCAAAGGGGGCAAGGGTGGTGGCGGTGACAGCGGGGGAGGCGGTGGTGGGGGTGGTGGCGGCGGTGGGGATGGTGGCGCGACTGGAGGGGCTGGTGGCAGCGGTGGGGGTGGTGGCGTCAGCGGCGGGGGAGGTGGCAGGGGCGGAGGCGGTGGTGGGGGTGGCGGTGGACGCGGCGGCGGCAGGGGTTGGGGTGGTCGACGAGGTGGCGGCGGCGGTGGTGGTCGTGGAGGCGCTGGCGGTGGCCAGGGCCAGCAGCACACTCCGTCGCCCCAGGAGGTCCGTGAGTGGTACTCTCAGCACGGGGGGGGGGGGGGGGGGTGGCTTTAGCTACACGTACATCATTCGCACTGGTGACCGCACTGGTCAGCCATGTGGGGGACCGCACGCCACACAGCGCTGCTTCGCTCGTCTCAACGACGCTTGGCGTGTTCAGTTCCCTCAGGCCACTGAGCTGCCCCGCTGGGTTGATCTCCCGAAGAAGGGGATTGATATCTATGCTCTAGACTTTGATGCTATTCTCACTGCTATTTATGTGATGTCTACCAGTGGAGAGGGTGCTGAGTACCTGTGTGTGCCGCCCAACCCAGGCATTAGGACTAGTGCATCTGCCGCTCCAGGTACTCGCGTAACTACTACCCCAGGTGCTGGTGAGGCAGATGCTCTAGGTGCTTGTGCGTCTGCCCCCCTTGAAACTGTGTCGACTGCAGCACTTCACACCTTCACGCTGGACTCAGGTGCTTCTCGCTGCTTCTTTCGTGACCGCACTGCCCTTGAGCCGCTTGCTCGGCCTGTTGCTGTCTCCCTCGCTGACCCCTTTGGGGGTCCGGTCATTGCGACCTCCTCCACTGTCCTTCCCTGTCCTGCGGTCCCGTCGGGCACACTGTCAGGTCTCCACCTCCCCTCGTTCTCTACGAACTTGGTGGCAGGATGTGCACTCCAGGACGGGGGTGTTCACCAGTTCACCCCTGCCTACGAGCGCGTGACACACTGCACGTGTGCTCGTACGGGCCGCCACTTGGCTACCTTCACTCGGCAGCCGGGGTCGGACCTGTACACACTGACCACTGAGTCCCCTCAGGTCGCTGCGTCTGCGTCTGCGTCCGCGTCAGGTCAGCTGTCTGCCCCCTGCTCGTGTCGCTCTCTGGCGCACGAGACTGTCCTCTGGCACCACCTACTTGGCCACCCGTCTGTGCAGCGCCTTCGTGCCATGCACTCCCGGTACCTTGTCTCTGGTCTTCCCAGGGTCCTCCCTCCCCTCCCACCCTCGCCTGCTCCTCCCTGTCTTCCCTGTGTCGAGGGGCGGCAGCGCCCCGCTCCTCACTCCTCGTTTCCCCCGACGACTGCTCCCTTGCAGACGCTCCACATGGACGTGTGGGCCCCAGCCCGCGTCCGTGGTCAAGGTCAGGAGAGGTACTTCCTGATAGTTGTTGACTACTACTCGCGCTACACCATGGTCTTCCCCTTGCGCACCAAGGGTGAGGTCCTTGATGTCTTGATCCCTTGGATCCGCAGAGCCCGTCTCCAGCTCAGCGAGCGTTTCCACTCGGACTTTCCTGTCCTGCGCTTGCACTCTGACAGAGGTGGTGAGTTCTCCTCCGACCTCTTGGTAGCCTACCGTGCTGAGCACGGCATTGAGCAATCGTTCACGCTTCCGGCCTCTCCACAGCAGAATGGGATTGCAGAGCGCCACATTGGCCTGGTCATGGAGGTCGCCCGTACCTCCTTGATCCATGCGGCTGCCCCCCACTTTCTGTGGCCGTTTGCGGTCCGGTACGCTGCGCATCAGCTCAGCCTCTGGCCCCGTGTCTCCTTGCCGGAGATCTCGCCCACACTGCTGTGGACGGGGGAGGTTGGCGATGCGTTGCGTTTCCGGGTCTGGGGATCTCGAGCTTTTGTCCTCGATACGTCTGCGGAGAAGCTCTCCTCCCGTGCTGTCCCCTGCGTCTTCCTCGGCTTTGTCCCGGACGCGCCTGGTTGGCAGTTTTACCACGCCACCTCGCGCCGAGTCTTGCCTTCTCAGGACGTCACTTTTGACGAGTCCGTCCCCTACTACCGTCTCTTCCCCTACCGCACTGCCCCGCTCCCCCCCCCCGCCTCTCTTCCTCGCGCCAGGTGCTGCTGTCGTAGACCCCCTCCCCCCTCAGGGTGCCGCTCCTTCAGGTGTGTCTCAGGTAGACCCAGTTGAGTCTGTTGAGGTAGCTGTCGACTCTCGTCCTGCTGCGTGTGCGGAGCCTGGGGGTGCTGAGCCCGGGGGTGCGGAGCCTGGGGGTGCGGAGACTGGGGGTGCGGAGCCTGGTGGTGCTGAGCCTGGGGGTGCGGAGCCTGGGGGTGCTGAGCCTGGGGGTACTGAGCCTGGGGGTGCGGAGCCTAGGGGTGCTGAGACTAGGGGTGCTGAGACTGGGGGTGCTGAGCCGCAGAGTCCGGAGTCTGGGGGTTCTGAGTCTGGAGGTCCTGAGCCTGAGAGTCCTACACCTGGAGGAGCCCTCTCCTCGGAGCAGCTGCGTGAGTGGTACTTACAGTGTTTCTGCCTCAGGAGAGGTACCTCTGGAGCCAGGCGTACTACTGGGACTGGTGCTGGTGTTCCTCCTCCTAGCCGAGAGCTCCCCTCCCGTAAGCGGATCCGTGAGTGGTACGAGCGGCGCTGCACTCTTCGGAGTGGCGCGCCTGGTGTCGCGGACCCCGCTGGTGCTGGTGGTGCTGCTGGTGCTAAAGACTCTACTGGTTCTACTGGTGCTGCGGCCCCAGAGGTTGGCGCTGCTTCTGGTGCTACGGACCCGGGCGTTGGAGCTACGGCTGGTGCTGAGGACCCGGGCGCTGGTGCTGCTGCTGGTACTGAGGACCCGGGCGTTGGAGCTGCTGCTGGTACTGAGGACCCGGGCGTTGGAGCTGCTGCTGGTGCTGCGGACCCGGGAGTTGGAGCTGCTGCTGGTGCTAAGGACCCTAGCGCTGGTGTCTCTGTTGGTTCTGGAGTCACTGCACGGCAGCGGCCGTACTTCGTTCCGCTCCTTCAGCAGGTTCTTGGTCTCCCGCCTTCTCCCGGTCCTCCTCCTCCCTTAGAGTGTCCACAGCCTGTCCAGTCACAGTTACAGTTACAGCCCGCCTCCCCACTTCCTGCTCCTTCTCCCTACACTGGTCCTACTGGAGGTCTTGCTGAGTGTCGTGAGCCTCCGCTCGCCCTGCGTCGCCTGTCCGTACTGCTCGCACTAGTGGTCGCGGTTTGCGTCAGCGTCCTCCTTCTGTCCCTGGCACGCACCGGATGTCTCTGCGTCCGTCCACTGCTTCTCTGCGTGCCCCTTTGCCTTCTCCTTCTGAGTCCTCTCTTCCTGATCTTACCGACCCGGAGTCGGACTCTCTTCGTGCTGCCAGTCCTACTATCACGCGTCTCCTTGCTACTATGGTCACTGACCCTTCTTTTGAGTCCACTGCTGCGTCTGCCCTAGTTGCTGAGCTCGTCGACTTTGCTGCTCGCTGTCGTCTAGACTACGCTGCTAGTCTTGTCGCTGAGTCTGAGTCTGTCTGTGCTCCGTCCGTCGGGGGTGCGTGTGCCCTTGGCACGGACGTCCTTGAGGACAGGCAGGAGGAGTTCCAGTGCTTGGCCACTGCTTCACCTCATCTTGTGTCCGTACTGCTTACCCCTGAGGGAGACCCGGATGCACTTGACATCCCGACTCCGCGCTCTTACGCGGAGGCGATAGAGGGTCCCTACTCTTCTCAGTGGCAGGCAGGTATGGATGCAGAGATGGCTTCCTGGAAGTCCACAGGCACCTACGTTGACGCTGTCCCCCCTCCTGGGGCGAACATCGTCAGTGGCATGTGGATTTTCAGGGTGAAGCGGCCGCCGGGTTCTCCGCCTGTCTTCAAGGCGCGCTACGTGGCTCGTGGCTTCAGTCAGCGGCAGGGAGTTGACTACTTTCAGACCTTCTCTCCCACCCCGAAGATGACCACTCTTCGGGTACTGCTGCACGTAGCTGCTCACCGTGACTACGAGCTACACTCTCTTGACTTCAGCACTGCTTTCCTGCAGGGCAGCCTGCACGAGGAGATCTGGTTGCGCCGCCCACTTGGCTTCACTGGGACTTTTCCTCCTGGCACCCAGTGGAGCCTCCGGCGGCCAGTCTACGGTCTCCGCCAGGCACCGCGTGAGTGGCACGACACACTGAGGACTACGCTTGCGGCTCTTGGGTTTGCTCCCTCTACTGCCGACCCGTGGCTGTTTCTACGCACCGACACTTCTCTGCCGCCGTTCTACATCCTCGTGTACGTCGACGACTTGGTCTTTGCCACAGCTTACACTGCTGGACTCGCCTACGTGAAGTCCGAGCTGCAGAAGAGATACACGTGCACAGACCTGGGTGAACTGCGCGGCTACCTTGGCTTGCAGATCACCCGGGACAGAGCACGCCGCACCATCACCCTGACTCAGTCACACATGGTGCAGCAGGTCCTTCAGCGCTTCGGCTTCATGTACTCCTCGCCTCAGGCCACTCCTCTGCCTACTCGCCACTCGCTCTCAGCTCTGCCTTCGGAAGAGTCCGTAGAGTCGAGTGGCCCGTATCCAGAGCTTGTTGGCTGCCTCATGTACCTGATGACCTGCACACGACCTGACCTTGCATACCCTCTTAGCATTCTCGCACGCTATGTTGCTCCTGGGAGACACCGACCTGAGCACATGGCTGCAGCGAAGAGGGTGTTGCGCTACTTGTGCAGTACATCGAGCATGGGGCTAGTGCTTGGAGGGCGTAGTCCACTGGTCCTCACTGGTCACACAGACAATTCTTGGGCTGACGACCAGGCTACGCAGCGGTCGTCACAGGGTTACACCTTCAGCCTCGGTTCCGGCTCTGTTTCGTGGTGGGCTACTCGCTCGTCTTCTGTTCTCGGCTCCAGTTGTGAGGCTGAGATCTATGCCGAGGCCATGGCTGCCTAGGAGCTTCGCTGGCTCACCTACCTGCTGACCGACCTTGGAGAGCCGCCTCGTTCTCCTCCAGTCCTGTACGTAGACAACAAGGCCATGCTGGCCTTGTGTCGAGAGCAGAGACTGGAGCACAGAACAAAGCACATTGCTCTCCGCTACTTCCTTGCTCGTGAGCTACAGCGGCGTGGTCAGTTGCGGCTTGCGTACGTGGCCTCTGAGGCCAACACTGCTGATGTCTTCACCAAGGCACTTGCGCCTTATGATCATCAGCGCTTCTGCACCTAGCCGGGTCTTGTACCTGTCTTGCCTCACTTGCTCACCTCTTGACCTTGCTTGTACTGTTACATATATATATACCTGCTCCTGCTTGTCTAGCCTTATATATATATGTACTCCTGCATGTGAACTGGCCTTGTGGCCTTGAACTTGTGCTCGGAATGTGTGGTGACTTTGTGATCCACCCTGAGCTTGCTTTGCTTTGCTTTACCTGACTGGTCTTGTGACCCCTAGTTCTCCCCCACTTCTCCTATGGGGGTGTGTCAAACATTATATATGTTGTGCTTGTTTAGGCTACAGTGGGTTAGCCTATAGGGGGTACACAATTTTAGGGTTAGGTACTTGTACTGATTTCAATGTTAGTTCAATCATTCCTGTTCGTTCATTTCAACAGCCCCCTCCCGTCGCCTCGTCGCGGCGCCTTGGGGTCCCGCGCACCGCCCCCTCCCGTCGCCTCGTCGCTGCGCCTTGGGGGCCCGCGCGCGGCCCCTTTCGTCGCCCGTCGAGTTGCCCTTGGGGGCCCGTGCGCGGCCCCCCTCCCGTCACCCGCCGTGGCACCCTCGGGGGGCCCGCGCCCTGCTCTTTAGTGGTTCCCAGGAGACCCCCCCGCAGCCTCCTTTTCCCTCCCTGAACCGCCCCTGCTGCTTCCCGCGCTCCTGCCTGCGTTAGGGTTTGGGGGTGGCGGGCATGGGGGTGACCGGTATGGGTAACCTGCAGCTCCTCCTCCTCCTCCGTCTCCCACTGCTGCAGCTGCCGCTGAGGGGGGTGGGTGTGTGGGAGCCGAGGGTTTAG